GTGATGGCGAACCTTTTGAGCTCGGCGTGTCAGCATTTTGAAAACCCTAACTTAACTCTGGTGCCGTGTCACATATAGAAATTTTTTGATATTTGCAACCATAGTAAAGCAAAGATTTATATTTTTGCTATTTATTTTATATATTTAAATGCCATTTAACAAAGAAAAATCAACCAAAAAAATGAGTTCGAGTGTCACCTCTGACACGCGTGTCATAGGTTCGCATCACTGCTCCAGACCCTGGGGCCTCCAGACCCATGTATTTACCAGGTCCGTGAAATCCAGTCCCGAGCTCTCCCTACCGCACCCCGTCCCTCTCCCTGACCTCTTATCCCAAGGGACACCGCTTCTTCCCTGGCTCCTCTTTTTTTAAATATATTTTTATTGCCCCAGCTGGTTTGGCTCAGTGGATAGAGCATCGGTCTGAGGACTGAATGGTCCCAGGTTTGATTCTGGTCAGGCACATGCCCGGGTTGCAGGCTCCATCCCCAGTGTTTTTGTTGATTTTAGAAAGAGAGGAAGGGGAGGGAGAGAGAGAGAGAAACATCAACGATGAGAGAGAAACATCAACGGGCTGCCTCCTGCATGCCCCCCACTGGGGATCGAGCCCACAGCCCAGGGCGTGTGCCCTGATGGAATCGAACCGGTGACCTTTCGGTGCATGGCGGCTGGGCTTCCCGGCTGCTCTCTTGTCCCTCCTCTGCTTCCCCTTCCTGACACATGGCCCCGAGGAAGCTCTTCTTCTGTCACCTTTTCTGTCATTCTCCATGCACCTCTCTCTCCTTTCCAGTCCCAGACACAAAACCTCCGCGCCTGGGGGAGCTGACAGTGACAGGCGTGACCCCGGACTCCGTGGGCCTCTCGTGGACGGTCCCCCAGGGCAAGTTCGACTCCTTCAAGGTCCAGTACAAGGACAGACACGGGCAGCCCCGGGTGGTGTCCGTGGCCGCGGACCAGCGCGAGGCCACCATCGGCGGCCTGGAGCCCCACCGGAAGTACAGGTTCCTGCTCTATGGGCTGGCAGGCGGGAAGCAGCTGGGCCCCGTCACCGCTGAGGGCACCACAGGTGAGCCCAGCCCCGCTCCCACCTTCCCCAGAGCTGGCCCAGGCGCGGCAGTCCCAGCACCCAAAGCAAACCCTCGGGCCCCTGCCCTGCCCGGCCTGCTCTGAGCACTTCACACGTCGCGCCAGTCCCTGCTGGCGATGCCGTAAGGGCCCAGCCTGCGGGGCCCAGCCGACCTGTGTTCAGATCCCAGTGGCCAGCTGTATGGCCATGGCGAGCCATTCCCCCCCGAAAGAAATGCTAAAAGGACTACTGTAATGAGAAGAAATAGAGAACGCTAAGCATACAGAAGTAGAATGGCATAAACAAGCACCTATTGATAATAGTCTTAAATGAAAATGTATTAAATGTGCCCATCAAAACATGACCCAACTATATGCTGTCTACAAGAAACCCACTTCAGAACAAAAGACTCACACAGGATGAGAGTGAAGGGATGGAAATTTTTTTCCATGCAAATGGAAGTGAAAAAAAGCTGGTGTAGCAATACTCATATCTGACAAAATAGACTTCAAAATGAAGGCCATCACAAGAGACAACAAAGGTCACTACATAATACTAAAGGGACTGATACAACAAAAGGATATAACCCTGGTAAACATATATGCACCAAATATAAGAGCACCGAAATATACAAAAAAGAACTTCTAGAGGACTTTAAGGGAGAGATCAACAGCAATACAATAATAGTAGGGGACTTTAACACCCCATTGACTTCACTGGACGGATCTTCCAGATGAAAAATCAACAAGGAAACAGTGACTCTAAAGGACACACTGGATCAGATGGAATTAACTGACATTTATAGTACATTTCACCCCAAAGCTGCAGAATATACAATCTTCTCAAGTGCACATGGCACATTCACAAAGATAGACCACATATTATGATACAAAGCAAGTCTCTACAAGTTCAAGAAGACTGAAATCATATCAAGCATCTTCTCAGATCACAGTGGAATGAAATTAGAAATCAACGACAGTAAAAACAATTAAAAACACTCAAGCACATGGAAGCTAAATAGCATGTTATTAAACAATGAATGGGCTACCAACAAGTTCAAGAAAGAAATAAAAAAAATTCCTGGAAATAAATGAAAATGAACACAACAACTTGAAATCTCTGGGACATGGGACACAGCAAAAGCAGTCCCGAGAGGGAAATTCATAGCTCTACAGGATTACCTCAAAAAAATTTTAACAATTAACTATTTAACCCTACAACTTAAAGAACTAGAAAGAGAACAAGAAAAACCCAGAGTAAGTAGAAGGAAGGAAATAATAAAGATTAGAGCAGAAATAAATGACATCAAGACTAAAAAAAAAACAATACAAAAAAATCAATGACACCAAGAGCTGGTTTTTTGAAAGGATAAACGACATTGATGAATCATTAGCCAAACTCATCAAGAAACAAAGAGAGAGGACTCAAAATCAGAAACGAAAGTGGTGAATTAACCACTGACATCACAGAAACACAAAGGATTGTAAGAAAATACTATGAACAACTATATGCCCATCAAGCTGGACAATGTGGATGAAATGGACAGATTCCTAGAAAAATACAATCTTCCAAAATTGAATCAGAAAGAATCAGAAAACTTGAATAGGCCAATAACAACTAAGGAAATAGAAGCAGTAATCAAAAGAAAAACTCCCAGCAATCAAAAGCTCAGGTCTGGACAGCTTTACAGGGAAGTTTTACCAAACCTTCAAAGAACAACTAACACCTATCCTCCTCAAACTATTCCCAAAAATACAAGAGGAAGGAACACTTCCAAACTCTTTTTATGAGGCCATCATTATCCTAATTCCAAAACCAGATAAAGACAGAGAATTACAGGCCAGTATCCCTGATGAACATACTAGTAGATGCTAAAATCCTCAACAAAATATTAGCAAATTGGGTCCAGCAATATATTAAAAAGATCATACGCCCTGACTAAGTGGGAATTCTTCCAGGGATGCAAGGCTGGTTCAATATTTGCAAATCAATAAAAATGATATATTACATAAAAAATTGAAAGGCAAAAATCACATGATCATATCAATAGACGCAGAAAAAGCATTTGACAAAATCCAACACCCATTTTTGATAAAAACTATCAACAAAGTGGGAATAGAGGGAGTATAGAAAGACCATACATGACAAACCTACAGCGAATATCATACTCAAAGGACAAAAACTAAAATCATTTCCCCTAAGAACAGGAACAAGACAGGGATGTCTGATTTTACCACTCTTATTCAACATAGTACTGGAAGTCCTAGTCCAGTGATCGGCAAACTCATTAGTCAACAGAGCCAAATATCAACAGTACACCGATTGAAATTTCTTTTGAGAGCCAAATTTTTTAAACTTAAACTATATAGGTAGGTACATTGTTATTAACTTAATTAGGGTACTCCTAAGGCTTAGGAAGAGCCACACTCAAGGGGCAAAAGAGCTGCATGTGGCTCGGGAGCCGAAGTTTGCCGACCACGGATCTAGGCTTTAACACCAGAGAAATGATATTCAGAACCTTTCACCAGGCATATGTATATATGACATACTAGTATATTGGTCATAAAAATACCTGCATGTATATTTCCATCATAAGTATCCTAATATATAAAAAGCCAGGGGTCGTCATGACCGAAATAACCAGACAGACGACCGAACAGCAGGCTATGTGGGGTGACCAGGACGGCAGGGGGGACAGTTGGGGCGACCAGGCCGGCGGGGGGTCATTTAGGGGCAACCAGGCCAGCATAGGGGGCAAGTTGGGGGCGACCAGGCCGGCAGCGGGGAGGCAAGGGGTGATCAGGCTGGTGGGAGGGCAGTTAGGAGTGACTAGGCCTGAGGGGAGCCAATTAGGGGCGATCAGGCCAGCATGCAGAGGCAGTGAGGGGCGATCTGGCCAGCAGGAGGGGGAGGCAGTTGGGGGCGACTAGGCAGGCAGGCAGGTGAGCAATTAGGAGCCAGTGGTCCAGGATTGTGAGAGGGATGTCCGACTGTCAGTTTAGGCCCGATCCTGGGGATTGAGCCTGAACGGGCATTCAGACATCCCCTGAGGGGTCCTGAATTGGAGAGGGTGCAGGCTGGGCTGAATTTTGTGCACCGGGCCTCTAATATAGCATATATTCATTGTAGAACATGTGAAAATGACTTGTAGAATTCTCTCAAAGTTAACTACTGTTAAGAAGTTTGTTTTACTGTGTTTTCTTTTAATCTTATATTACACAATATTACACACACACACACACACACACACACACACAC